AACATTTTCCCTTATAATTTCTTCTTAAAGTTTTATACTTTTAGGCTTTCATATTTAGGTTCATAGATCCCTTCAAGTTATTTTCATGTATGGAAATAAAGGGTTGAGGTTAATTTTTTATATACAGAAAAAAAAAAGAAATTATAACATTTACTCCTTCAGCAAGAATCGATTGCCAGGTGTGTTGGAAGTACACATATCGTAGTTGTTTTATAAGCCTAATTTTTTCACTTAGGCTTATGTTTGTAGCTATTTTCATTTTCTTATATTGCCTAGGGTTACATTGTTAAGGGGCACAGCCAGAATTCTGGTCCTGGTCTTTTGTCCTCCAAAAGTGAATTTCTCTCAAAGACATCTTCAGTAAACTTTTATCAGTTTACAGTCCTAGTGGTGTAGGGAAGGGAGAGCGAAGATCGCTGGGGACAGATATGTAAAGAAACAGTGCTGACAACATGTATATGTTTTCCTAATGGTTCTGTGGGGCAGAAAGAATGAGATAATTATGTCTAGGGTAGAGAAGTAAGAAAGCCTTAGAAAGGAAGAATGGTAGGCATATGACAGGAGGTTTAATAGTGTTTGAGACAAAGTGGATGTATTGTATGGGCATGGCAGAGTAAAAGTGTCCAGTTTCCAGATTCATGAACAGCTGTTGCTGGCTGATATCTGATGGGGGTCCAAATGGAAAGAGTGTGAGACTAGAGAAAGAGGGAGAGGTAAACAGAGGAAGGATTTTTGCCAAACTTGAGGAACTATTTGAGACTTTTGGGAGGACTGTATTCCAGGCTTTGGGCTTTCAAAGGCAGATGGTTTTTAATATGCATAGTCTCTCTCCTGCACCATAGTTATTCCAAATACACTTTAGTTAGAATATTTTTCACATCTGTTTCTTATTTTTTAACACAGTGGTGTATGTATTGCTCCACTGCAGAATTCTTGGGCTTTATTGTAAAATGTAGCTATATAAACTTGGGAGAATTAAACTCTTTGACTGTTTCTTTGCATGTGAAAGGCATCTTTCTCAGTGTTAGGAAAATAATTACATAAATTATATCAAACTACCGTACTTGGCATAATCCTTGGGACCTAATTGTAACTCAGCTTTGATTATTGTTGGTATTTCCAGCCTCTAGCATACAGTATTAATGTTGAATGTTTTTCTTTGAGTTGTAGAATGATCCTTCTGTTTGGGAGTATTAAGTTAGCAATAAGAGATAGGAAAACAACTACATAATTTCCGGCAACAGTCTAGGTGAGATAAGATGCTATTGGCTAAGTTGGTGCTAGTGAGCTTTGCAAAGAGTTGGGTGAGAGGCAAAGAACATGATTAGTTCTAAAATTATGAATTCACCAGTTTGTGCATTTTATTGACAAATTGTGGACTTCAGTGCTTTCGAATCCTACATAAGGAGCTTATCAGTCTCCAGGTATATTGCAAACTGAATTATTATATAAGAGAATAGAATCTAATTATTTATATTTACAGGTTGAGTATCTGTAATCTGAAAACCCAGAATGTTTTTTTTTTCATATTGGGAATTGAATTCAGAATCTTGTGCTTGCCAGGCAGGTGCTACACTGCTGAGCTACATCCCCAGCTCAAAATGTAAAACTTTTTAAGCACTATCATTCTGTTTAAAATATTTCAGATATCAGAGCATTTCAGATTTCAGATCAGGCATGCCAAACCTATAAATTGTATGCAAATATTCCAAAGCCAGAAAACTCCAAAATCTGAATCACTTATGGTCCTAACCACTTAAGATAAGGGATAGTGAGTCTGTGTATCATTCTTAAAAAACTTCAATGGAAAAAAAAAAATCAGTGAAAGCGAATTCTACCTTTTTTTTCTGACCTTCCTTTTAATTACTTTTTAAATCTGTTGAGTAATCTTACATTTACTCAAATCTGTCTCTTTCGTTGTTGGATCAGTTTAAACTTTGCAGACTCTATTTAACAGTATATATGCATATACTTTTATTTCTTTATAGATAACATGGTTGGAAGGCCATTCCTTGGCACAGACAGTATTTACGTGCCTTTACATTCATAATCCAGACTTTATAGAAGATCCTGCTATGAAGGCTTTTGCTCTGGGAATCTTGAAAATCTGTGACATTGCAAGGGAAAAAGTAAACAAAGCTGCGGTTTTTGAAGAAGTAAGCTTTTTTAATATAAGAATTTCTGAAGCTCATTGACCATTTTATTCACTGTGATACATTTAAATGATTTTATGGTATTTCTTTTTGTGTTCATGTATAGCTAAGAATAGCATTTAAAGGTAATACTATTGCTAGACATGGATGCTGTGCCTGTAGTCCCAACTACATGGGATGCTGAAGTGGGAAGATTGAGCCCAAGAGGTCAAGGCAAGCTTGGGCACCATAGTAAGGCTTCGTCTCAAGAAAGCAGTGTTGCTATTACTATTTGCAATATATTGGCTAGAGTAACTCAGTATTCAACAAAGGACTTTTATCTTACCTGTTCTTCTGTCACTCCCATTCATTGAGTATCTGTGTGTGCAGAAGATTATTCTGGGGACTGTGGGGATTAACACAGGAAACAAGATACAGCCCTGCCCCAACAAAAAGGCTCCATGTTCAGTCTTTAGATAAAAAGAGCTAAGGAAAACAAATGGAGGATGTTTTAGAGAAGATGTTTTTCTCTGGTGTAAGTACCTTACACAAAGAAGTGCTGTGAATTTTAGAAGTTTCCTTTTTTTTTTTTTTTTTTTAATAAAAAACACTTTCAGCTGCTGATAACTGTAAGGGAGAATAAGATTGCATTTGCAGTTATTAATAATGACCAATTGTTTTTGTTAAATTCTTCCATTCATTGAAATTGTTAAGTTCCTTTTGAATGCTATTCCTGATCCAAAATAAATTATCTCAGGCTTCAACAGTGATTCCATGCATTGTATGTAAAACTTTCTTAAATTTGTTTTATGTATATGGGAATAATTTCATATGTACCTAATATGATTGTACACATTTGTATGTATGGGTTGTGAGTTATTAATGAAATATTTTCTACTTTTTAAACACTGGTTATTTAGCTAAATATTGATATTGATATGTGTGTCATTATAGAGAGGACCTTATCAATAGAGTAGTTTGTGTTAATGATTGAGAAGAGAAATACTGTACAGATTTGAAAAAATACTTATATTTTTAAAATATACCTAAAAGGACAGTAAAATCAGTGGGGCAGAGAAAGGATTCATTTAAAAAATAGTCCTGAAATAGCGGGCTAGTCCCTTTGAAAATTATTTGTCATTTCACATCTTGCAGAGAGATGAAATATTGTAAGTATACAAAAATATTTAAAAATCAGGAAAAGACAGTTTAAAGAAAATAAAATGACCTTTAAGCATAAAATGTTTAATCTTGCTTAAGAGAATGCAAATTAAAATGGTGAGGTATTTTTTTATGTGTTATTGGCAAAGATGAGAAATTTTTATGATATATCATATTAATGGTTTCCTTGAACCATTGGAGAATGAATGACACACATTATCTCTTTTGCCTAAATGCCTCAGTATGCATCTCCTAAGGAAACACACGAACACATCACAAGTACCAACCTCAACAAATCTTTTATATCAGTGAACTCACTGTTCATGTTCCACGACTGTCCATTGACCTAGACCTTCTTACATTGTTTTCCTTCTGCAATATAAAATTCGGTATGGAACCATGTCCTACATCTAACTACATATCTCTTTAATATCCTTTAGTCTAGAGTAGACTCTCAGCTTTTCTTTCTTTGATAATGTAGATATTTTTGAGTGTATGACCTCTTGCTGCTCCTCTTTTTAATAGAATGCACCTCATTTGGGTCTTATGTGCTCTTTGTTCATGATTAAATTTAGATTTTGCAGTTCTGGCTGAAATATGATGTAAGTGATACTATATACTTCTCAGGGTATTGTAACTGGAGGCGTACAGTCAGTGTCCATTTGCTCTTCAGTGGTGATGTTATTTGACCACTCCATCGAGGTGTTGTTTCACTATATTACTCCTATTTTTCCCCTTGTTTTTTTTTTTTTGGTATCGAGGATCTAATTTGGGTCCTTGTGCTTGCACAGCAGGCTGCGAAACCCCTGAGCTAAATCCCTGGCCCTTTCCCCTTGTTTTGAAGCAGTCCTTTGGGAAATTCTTTAAGGTCACAAAAATATCTGGCTCTTTAGTCTCTCCCCTTATATTTAACATCCACTAGTGATACTTGCCTGGAGTAACCTTTACTGTGATGGTTGGAAAATGAGGATTTTCAAAGTTTGGTACTCCTTTCATATATGTTTATTGACACTAGCATTCTTTAAGCAAGGTTCATGCTTTTTGAAGGATTTTAAATCCTTACTGCTTTTTACTTATTTATTTTGGTACCAGGGATCAAACTCCAGTCCTCGTGCTTGCGAGGCAGGCGCCAGAACCACTGAGCTAAATCCCTGGCCCCCTTAACTGCTTTTTAAAAGAACAGTATGATAGTATCTGAAATTTAAATGCACATATCTTTATTTTAAACATTTTTATTTTTTAAATTCTTTTATTGGTACATTTTAGGTATATAATATGTTTACATTTATCATTGGGTGCTTATACCTGTACATGATGTATCTTGGTTCTTATTAAAATGCACATATCTTGCCTCAGCGGTTTCACTTCCATCACTTTGTCCTACAGATAATTGCCCTTGTACACAAAGACCTCTGCACAAGGATATTAATTGTGGTATTGTTTATAATAATTTAAATCTAGGTATAATGTCAGTATTCTTCAATAGGAGAATCATTAAAAGGTGCTACATTTGGGGCTGGGGGAAGGTAGCTCAGTGTTAGAATGCCTGCCTACTAGTGTGCAAGGCTCTGGGCTTGATCCTCAACACTGGAATAAAAAAGTTATACAGTCAAGTATAGTTTTATGTGTACAGTTAATGTTAGATCTCCAAAGTAAGTAAAGTCAGGTGTAGAAAAGCATGTATACCTTGTTAACATTCCTTCTTCTTTTTTAAAGGGAGATAGATAAATCTTCTATACACAAGAAAATAACTGGATACCTAGGGCTGAGGAATATTGTGTTTATGTTGGAGTTTTTATTATGTGTCTGTAATACTTTAAGATAAGCCAAAAAATATTTTTATGATTTTATTGGTTCATTTTACGTATACGATATAATGACATTCATCATTGGAGAAATCAAATTTTTTAGTACTAGAAGAAATTATAATTGGATTTTTGTATATGTTATGGATGAAGGACTTAAACAGTAGAAAATTTAGCCTCAGCATAATCTAGGAAATACAAATTAAAATAATCATATTTACTTGTATTTATATACTTACACATATTTTCATATTTAAGAATTTTTAAATGAGAATATTTAATATTGGCACTTTAATTTTTACCAGTGAAAGTACATTAACACAGCTCTTTTGGAAAAGAATTTAACAGTATATATAATAAGAAGCTTGACATTTGATAACATTTAAGCTAGTTATTGCATCTTTATAACTCACCCTGATAGAAATAATTAGAAATTGGGTACTTCAGGCCTAAATCTGTTAATCAAGAGTTTTCAGTAGTAAACGATTACAGTAATATCACCCAAAATGTATCACTGGAGTTATAGTTGAAATAAACCGTGGATCATTTATTTCACATACTGAATATATAGCCTTTATTATAATGAAGGAGAGTGTTTAGTGTGCATGGGAAAAGGGTTACCTTAGAATGTTAAAAAAAAAAAAAAAGCACACAGGGTAGCCAACTTTATAAAAATAAACTAGAAAGCAATATAACCTAAGGTTAACTCCTAGACTGGAAAGATTCTATTTTTCCTATTTCAGTGAACTTTTCAGATTTTCTAGATCTTAAGTATATCTTAGTTTTATAATTAGAAAAAAATGCTGATTGCCTAGGAAAAGTCCTTAAGGGAGCTAATAATGAACAAATAAGAATGATTTATTTATTTAAGGCTAATGAACAAGTCATTTACTTGTTTGACATAGGTGCGGCTGAAGTTCCTAGTTGCCGGAATATTTTATTCTCAGATATGTCTCCTGAACTTGAGACATTTTCACCCCCTTAATGTCTTACTCACATGTGAAAAATGAGAACTCTAATTCCCCCAACACTGTCAAACTGCTTTTCTTCTTGATTGTGTATCTTGCCAAATAACATCTTTACTGCTATCTTCGATTGCTTATTTTCTGTTACCCCTAACATCTATATTCGTGTAATTTGCCAGAATCTTGAATCTAGGCTCTGTTTCCTCTTTTCTCTCATTTTTTTCTTGCTTTAGTTTGTGCATTGCTTTAGGTGTAGTTCCTGTGAAATTTTCTGGGCTCCTCTTTCTGGCTGTTTTTTTCTCTGTAGTCTGTTTTCCATATTCATACCAGTTATCTTCCTGAAAATAGATAATCTGGTCATGTTTAGCTTTGTTACTTGAAAATTTTTACTGAGGTGTGCATACATATTTTAACAAGAGTAATGATATAGTACTTAGATATAGTTTTAAAAGTCAAGCACAAGACACAGAGAACAATAGTTCTTTGCCTTTCCCTTCCAATTTCTCATATTGTTATTTTAGCTTTTTCTTAATAATTTTCTGATACTTCTGGATAAGAAACTTATGTTTTTATTTATGGGATTTAAAGATTTCACAATTTTAGCTGTATGTCATAATTTAGAATTCACACATTTTCTCCTTTCTCCAAGTAGTAATTCAGTTTTTGGGTAAATCAGTGCTGAAATTATAATGATTATATGAATATGAATGGCAGATGAGTCAAAGTAGTGTATGCACTTCCACTCATACAAAATTTTTCTTTTCTTGGAGGTGATAAATATCTCTTCTTTTTATTTGCTTAAATTTCTCTGTACTTTTCCCAGTTCTTCCTATTACTATGAACTCCAGTTTATAGATGTTGTCACAGTATTACTGTTGCTTTCCTTGTATCCTCATTTCCATGATTGTTAGCTGAAATCATTCACATACCCTTAGCTTTCTTATCCCTCCCATCATTTCTGTCACTTATCTGTCAAAACCACAACCATCTGCCTACTCCCTGCTTGTACCTAAGCAGCAGAAGCTGCTAGAGAAAACCCACATCTGTTTATGTGTTCTTACTTTAAGGCTGCAAATCTCAGATGGAGATGATCCTGGCTGACACTTCTGTAGTGTGTTTGCCTTTCTAGTATTTAAACTGACTTTTCTGTGTCTTATTTCTCAGACCTCCATCACTAGTCTCCTCACCATCAACTTGCTTCCTACTGTATTGAAATATTAGCTATCACAAGTGCTTATGTGTATCAGTGTCTATGTAGTCTGGTTTCTGTCCCATTAAAATCAGTCAGCTCCTTTACTTGTCACCTAGATTCTATCCCTTCTTGTCTCTTGCATTTAATAAACCTTCCTTTGTATTGCATTACTTGTTAATAATCATTCATTTTAAAACAGAACACCTCAGTTCTTTTGATCCCAGGCCTCCTCATATCCACATAATAAAAGCTCTTAGAGCTGTTAATGTTTGTTTATTTTACTTTTTCTTTATGCACTGCAAAATGCTCATTCTTTGCTACTACTACAGAGATCTAGTCTTTATCCATTTTACTAAATCCCATGTACCCACTATTCCCTCTGTAACCTGTGTGCATCATTAAACCCACTTGACCACTTTTTGAAATATTTGATACTGTAGTCTTGGGTTTATTTCCACATCACTGGTTAGTCCAGTTCCTTTGGGCTTCCCTGTACTTTTCTATACCCTCTCTAGGTTTATTTCCTCTAGTTCTGTAGCTTTTAATACCAACTGCACACTGATGAAGTCCCAGTATACACCTTTAGTCCTGATTCCTTCTCTGCCTTCTAGACTGAAGCAGATACCCTCCTAAGGTACTCACTTGGATGAAAGAAGAAATTATAGATTTTTTTTTTTTGGTACCAGGGATCAAACTCGGGACCTTGCACTTGTGAGGCAGGCGCCGGAACCACTGAGCTAAATCTCCAGCCCTTAAATTGTAAATTTAACATAACCAAAATTGTAAGCCATTTCTGCCCATAAAGCTGCTTTTCCCAAAGTCTGTTCCATCTCAAGAAATGATACCATCTTTTGTGAGTTGTCAGTGCTTAAAACCTAAAGATGAGCCAGTAATGGTGGTACATACCTGTAATCCCTGCACTCTGGGAGGCTGAGGCAGGTGGATTATGAGTTTGAGACCAGCCTGGGCTACATAGTGAATTCAAGGCCACACTGGAACATAGTAAGACCTGTCTCCAAAAAACAAAATAAAACCATCCTGCTGTAAATAGCTTTCCTTATACTCATATATTCACCTCTTTTAAATGTATCCTGATTTCAGTGATTTTCTAAATCCCAATTTTACACAGTCCTAATCCAAGTCACCATCAATTCATGCTTGGTCTGTTTGTTCAGTAGAGTCAGTACCTGGTCTTCACTGATGATTTTCCATGAACTTCCAGAGTGATCTTATAGTGGCACCAGTCTGTTTTTATGACTCCCTTGCTTTTAAGTCTTCCAGTGACTTAGATTGCTAGGAAATTGGACATTAAGGGGTCCCTTTGGTGGGTGTAAGACTTTAGGATCCTCTTCCCTTCATGTCTTAGAAGAGATAAAGTAAGTAGAGATAATGTACAAACTTCATCTAGAGGATAAGTTTATAGCTCTGTAACATTACATGGTGATTTTAAAAGACTCAATCATATCAGTCATATAATGCCTATGAGTTCTTTGAGACCAAGAATATTGTGGCTTTTTTGTTATTGTTCTATTTGTGAAATATAGTACTTAACATGAATTTTGATGCTCATTGTTTTAAGAATCCAGAAATTTTGTTTTAATTCTAACCACTTCAGTAGCTATTATGTTGTTTCTCTCCACATTTTTATAGGAATTATAACATGACAGAAACATGACTTCTTGATTAAAACAAATGATACTACATTTATTTTTTAAAGAGTGATTCCAGCAGATGACTTAGTTTGTTTATGACTCAGCAGTGAATTCATTTAAAAATGATTTTAGGACTGGGGATCTATGTGTGAATAATTTTTTCTTTACTATGAGCTGTAGACCATGGTTTTCCTATCATTTTGAGTAAGTCTATTTGAGAAGACTTAGCTTTTGCTAAGTCTGGGTGTAAGCAGATATTATTTTTAAAGTAAGTCTTCCCTAAATCTTGCAACCCTGTCATCAAGAAATAATTACGTATTTTTACCTATGATTGTGAGACTACTTTATAAATGAGAGTTACTGTTTTGTGATATTTTCATAAGCATTACCCTTATTTTTGAAATGAACATATTAAATGCAGATATACTGAACTTGTCCAACAACAGGCATTTGAAATTAAGAGGAGAGACATCATTGTCGTGTTAAGTATATCCCTATAAGGAAAGTTTAGAGCTGTGATGGTAATGTTAGGGGAAGCTGAGTGATACTCCATTTCTGTTCTCCTATTACATAGTGATTTTGTGAGAGGAATACAGAAGTTTTGCTACTATTAAAGGGCCTGATTATTCCTTTTTTTGTATAGGAAGATTTTCAGTCAATGACTTACGGATTTAAAATGGCTAACAGTGTGACAGATCTTCGAGTTACAGGTAAAACCATTTATAAAGATAATTTACAAGTTTTGCATTATGTTTCCTTTTTAAAGGTAATTGTTTCTCTTTCTAGGCATGCTAAAAGATGTGGAGGATGACATGCAAAGAAGAGTAAAGGTATACATGTCTTCTCTGCACTTTTTTTTTTTTTTTTTGGTACCAGGGATTGAACTCAAGACTTTGCGCTTGCAAGGCAAGTGCAGTGCCACCAAGCTAAATCCCCAGCCCTTCTCTGCACTTTAATGTAGGGCTGTTATGTTCCTAAATGTCAGGTTAACTTTAATTAAAATTAGCTAGTACAGATAGAACCATGTATCTCTCTTTTACTGGTAGCTATTTATTAGTGAATCTGAAAACTGTTAATAGGAGTTTTTGATAAACTAATGTCATTTTCAAGTATTGAAAATGTACCTTGTTTTAGTTTTTTGTCAGTGTTTTGACTTTTAGTAGGCTATTTTAAGAATATATTTTTCTCTACTAGAGTTCTAGAGTCTTAAGTTCCTCACAGGTAAAGACTGTCCTCTTCACCTCTGTAGATGTAGGAGCAAATGCAATGTTGAGAATACTGTGCAGTAGGGGAACTAAGCACCTGGCGACATTACTGGTTGTTGAAGGCCCGTGCTGACACTCTTCAGCTGTATTGACCCTGGTGATTCACTTCTCATAGAGATTAAGAAGGGAAAGATGTTATATTTCTGTTATTTTACACTTACATGGCAGTATGGTTGCGAGAGAAAATTTATGTTTTTCTCTTTTTAAAAATTTTGCTATTATTCAAGAAATTAGACAATTAATTGCACACTGCCCGATGTGGTGGCACATGCCTGTAATCCCAGCACTCTTGAGAGGTGAGGCAGGAGTATCACAAGTTGGTGCCCAGCCTGGGTAACTTAGTGACTTAGTGAGACCGCCTTAAAATAAAAGGGCTGGGGTGTTGCTCAGTGTCAAGGCCCTGGACTCCATCTCCAGTACTCAAAACAGAACAAAACACACATACACTGCTCCACTTTTGGTAGAGAAAAGTACAGCTCAAAGGAGTCAAGGGAAGCTGTCTCAGTCTTACATAAGGGTATGTACTTGGTATGTGTAATAGCTTCAGGACCAGAACCCACATCTGCTACCAGATTTTCCTGTTCTGGTGCCTTGGAAATAGCTATAACTATTGTATTAAGATATATTGCATTTTAGTGTATTAGTATTAACCATGAGACTTTATTTTTCTGCTGTGATTTTTAAAGTGTTCATTTTTTTCTAAGAGGGTTAATTTCGAGAATGTCAGTGGTTGCAATTCATAGATCCCTTTATAGGACAGTATGCCATATGCTTTTGCTTATGTTATTTTATTGTTTTGCTTTTGCTGCTTGAATTCCTGATTATTTTTGTGATCTTTATTTTAAAATAAGCTTTCTGTGTATAACATTAGTAGAAGGGAAATAAATACTGGATATGGCTTTGTTTTTCTCCCCATATTTTGCCTAAAAATAGATCCTTGTCTATATTCAGTAAACTTAGTGTTTTCTTTGCCTTGTATGTTTATAATCTAATACTAATCCAGGATTGTATTTGTTTTAATTTATCTTTTTTAAAATTTTAGAGTACTCGAAGTCGACAAGGAGAAGAAAGAGATCCTGAAGTTGAACTAGAAGTAATTGAACTTATTTTCTGGTAGATTATATCAGAGAAGCCTACCTCTTAATGTTGTAGTTTTATGAACTGCGTTATAATTTATGGAAGCCCTTTTTAAGGTATTTCTTTAAAAATTGGACATTGCAAGGGACTTTATTTCCCTTGTATTTGTTTTGGTAGAATGATAATACATCTCTCTCAAATACATAATTCAAAACTCTTCAGTATCCCAGTGAGGTAGGAAGAAAAAATGATCTTTTACAGATGATGCATCACAGCTTGGCAAAGCTCAAGAACTTCCACATCATCAAAAGTTGCTGAATCTTTGTTGAGATTCTAAATTTTCTGACTCTGCTAATAGCATTTTAAATCCTTTCTTTTTAAAAAAGCTAATTAGTTTTGAGATATGACTTAGGAAAGAATCATTCTTGTTGCTATAGAAACATTACTTTTATTTGAAAAGAATAGACTTTAATTTTTTCTGCAGTTCATTTTTCAGGCATTTAAAAGCATGTAAGTGAAGGTGTATGTACTATAGTAAGTTATTAACATTGAGATTTAGAAGTTAAAATATTTTAAAATGAGATTCTTTTGACAGGGTTTGCATGGTTTTTTTTTTGGTTTTTTTTGTTTTTTTAGGGTTTGCATGTTTTAATTTGTAGTTTTTTCCTTTTTTTTTTTTTGTAGCACCAACAATGTTTAGCAGTATTCAGCAGAGTGAAATTTACTCGTGTGTTACTGACGGTGCTTATAGCCTTTACCAAGAAAGAGGTAAGGGAATTTACTATCATGTAATTTACTATCATGTATAAGTCACTTGAATTTTACATTGTATTCTAGAACCTATTTCTGTTGATATAAAAATAATATTTCAGATCACTTATTAGTAAATAGGATAATAGAAGCAGAAATTGCTTGTAGGTTGTCATATTTTATGGATTGAAAAGGACAAATTAAAAATGGAAATTCTAGCTAGGCTTGTTCTTCCCTTCAGTTAAATAGTAACTGTTAGATTTGCAGAAATCCAAAAGGAAGCCCTTGATGGTCATTATCTTTTGTGTCATTTCAACACCAATTACAGAATAATTTATGAGTAAAGATATACCCTTTATTGTAGGTCTAATTTCTATAATTTTATTTTTCCTCCACTATCTTGACAACAAATATTGTAGAATTGTTGAAATGTTTTCCCCCATTTTTCAGCTGACTGTATCTCTGGTTTTATTTTTTAAAATAAGATTAATACAGCAAACGAGATTTCGGATATTTTTAGTGGATCCCATAAAACATAGATGTGAGGGGGAAAACAAATTATTTTTATCCTAACAGGATCTGGGCATCCTGCATTAAGTGAATAATTTGTGAAAACCAGTATCATTATAGCAAGCATTTAATTTCATTATCGTTTATAGGATTTTCCTATTTAATGTATATCTTTCAGTGAAAGAATATGTAAGAATGTTTTTGGTGATTTATTTGCTAGACCAGTGCTGTTGCAGAAGCTCAAAAATTGATGGTTCAAGCAGCAGACCTTCTTTCTGCCATTCATAATTCACTGCATCATGGCATCCAGGCCCAGAATGATACTACAAAAGGAGGTAATTTCCATTTTGCCCTTGCTGTTTTTTCTTGATTCTCATCCAGGATATACATAGTGTTTGGGTTATTCTAAAATTTTATTCAGGTCAGTTTTCCTGGACCTTGGAACATACAGAATATTTTAGACTCTTTCTTTGTAAATTTTTTTAGACTGAAAACAGTATTGTAGAATTTGTCCATGTCCTGTGTCTTACTGCTTAGACTGTGCATGTATGCCCTGTGCTTCATATATTCTCTGCATATATTCATGCTGTGATGTCAGAAGTAGCTTCTTTTTTATTCCTTTGCCTAAAAACTGATCACTTTCATTACAGTCTATACTAACCACTAGATGGGCCTAGCATTTCCTTTGTAGCCTCAGTGCCTCTAACGTTGACTGTAATTGTTTACCTATTTTCTTCCTGTGAGATTTGAGTACCTTTAGGTAGAGACTGTCTCCTTGTTTGTCCCTGCAGTGCTTAGCATGTCATTGGCAATCAGATTGAATTCATGAAGAGTACATTCTTCTCATAGCCTGTCCTGCTTCCTCCAGGGTGTACTTTACCTTGCTTTTTCCTCTTTTGCTTTGTTCACGCTTGCTCTGGAGAGCCAGTTTCTTTCTTGCTCTTCACTTTTACATTTTCACATGAACTACTCAACCCTCCCCGAAAAAGAAAAGTACCTTAAAATAAAAAGAGTAGTACACCTTTGTAAAATTTGCAACTAGGTTAACATTTTAGACAGTGTGTAGCAATTCTGATTATCTTTAGAACTCATTAAAATTGAGTGGTATTTAAATTCTTTACCTTACTTTTTATTAGTTGTTGGTCTTGTGAGCAGGAAGGCAAGATCTTACTGATTCCCATTCTTTTCTTTTTCAATTCATTCTCTCCTTTCATTGGTAAGAATAGTGGTATTCTTTTTTTCATGAACTTTTCTTTACTCAGATATTAGGTAGTATAACAGTCCCAAGGTAATTTGGGTTAGGAAATTAGTATTCTCATAATCTTATGTCTTTAGTAATTATATTGAATTTGTACAAATTGATCATTTCTTTTTTCCCAGAGGGAAGTATGTTCATGAGATAAGTGACAAGGTGGAATTTTATAACTAAGGGATATTTTTTTAAAAAGGTTGTTCATACACAACCTATGGTACATGTTTACAGAGATGTAAAATAGCCATAACTCTTAAACTCTTTGAAATCTAATACGAGAATACTTTTATAAGCCAATGTATAATACATGACTTCCGAGTAACTGGTTGGTTTGTGTAATGGTAATGTTAATGATGCAAAGCAGGAGTCTTCCAGGTTACTGGAATGTAATGTTCTTTTTCACCATCTGTCATTCCTCGGAGCTCTTCTGCTCCATTTCTGCAGTCCAGCAGACTCTGAGGATAATTACTGTAGGATCATTGGTAGCTATATCTTAGAACTTCTCTGTATTTCAGACCAGTGTTAGGAAAGTCAGTTTGCTTGTACCTATGTTTTCTACTATTTCTCTGGTTTTACAAGTCTGTTGATAAGATTCAGAAATATTGTTTGAATAAAATTATCTTAAATGTACATTTTTATAAAATGTAATCTTACAACTAAGCAAGTGAAAATTTAAATTTAAAAAATGCTATCCCCATGCTTGGTTTTCTGTATACTTTTTCGCTGGCTTAATTTAACATTATAATTTTCCTTCATGAAACCATAAAAATTCTGTAGTTAAAAAGTCAGTGCTTTTCTAATGTGTATTCTAAAAAGAATGGTGAGAAAACAAAAGTGTAGTTTAGTTTTGGTCTTAGCTTACACATTTTACCTTTTAATTTTTGTAATTTCATCTAGAGACAACAGAATAGGTAACTTAGAAACACTAAACGATCATTTAGCTTTTTACTGAAAAGGTATGTATTAAGTGGGACTTGGAAACAGTGGGGTTAAGGGAGAAAATTGGAAGAATAAAGCATGGTTTAATTTATTCAGTGCATATTACTGTTTTAAGATGCAGAAAGCAGGTGAGGTGTGGAAGGTGGGGAGCTCAGATGATGAATGGTATTATGTGGTGCCATGGAGGAGTCCACTAGTAAAGTAAACATTTGGCTCTGCAAAATAGATAGAAAATCAGATTTTGGAGTCATTTTCATGTTAAAATCATATTAAAACTGAAGAGAAGGTCGTAATTACTCAGGACTTGCTGGATTCAGGAATTTGGGTCATACACTGTATTTTTATTGAAGGAACGAAGAAAATATTGCAGAAGATAAGTGCAGATACTGCACTTTGTCTTTGTATATGCTGTCTTGAATTTTATACTTTTTTAAAAAATATGTTGGTGAATTCTAGTCTGTCCTTTAAAAGGACATTCAGATGGTTTCCAGTAAGATTTTCCAGGTTCCACTGGTTAAAATATAATTCTTTCCTAAGTGGTCTCATGGTAGTCAGTGAGTTACGTTTCACTCTTTAAATTATGAGCATGTTTAACAGTTGCTAATGCAAATAAATATATTTAAATTTCTGTTGCCTTAAATTGGTAGATACTTTTGGAATACAGTTTCGAATCGGACACACTTCAAGAGAACATATCCTTTTGGGGGGTGGGTGTGCTAGCACATGCCTCGGGCTTTGTACTGAGCTGTATCCCTAGCCTTTTGTTTATTTTCATTTTTTATTTTAGTGAGACAGGGTCTCACTAAGTTGCTCAGGCTGGGGTTGAACTTGCAGTCCTCATGCCTCAGCCTTCCAGAGTGCTGGGATTATAGGCATGTACCATTATGCCTGGCTAAGAGAGCTTATCATCTTTAAAATAAATTAAAAGATATCTGATTAAAATTGGTAAAGTAGCAGCATTGATGGCTGTTGTTGAGGTGTGAAAAAAGTTCATATATTTGCATTTACTTTTTGAAACCCCAAAGAAACATTAAAGAAAATTTTTTGTTTTCTGTACATAGGCAAAATTAAGAGGAAAAAGGTAGGGAAAGGAGATAATAGAAAGTAAGTGTTAGAAGCTGGAAAACATAAAGACTTAGCTGTCTGTGAATAACTGAATCTTAGCTCCACTGATTCTGGACTGAGGAGGATATAAGACATAGTTGAAGGATGCATATTAAAGGGAAGTAAACTGAGTATTTAAATACTTATTAGGACATATTTTCCCAACCCCCAGCTTCCAAAACAAGGAAGTTAGATTCACACACTCCACGTAAGAGTTTGGAAGATTCTTCAAAGGGAAGGGAAATCTGGCAAAATCAGGAGGTAGAAAAAATAAGCAAAATTAAATATAATGATAGGAGCAGTTCCTCTGATAAAATGGCTTGGGTGAAAGTCCGTTATTCACAGAGCTCTTAGGAGAGTATTTTTGCATTTCATTTTCAAAGGTAAGTGTACAGTCAAGGATGGGAGCCTCTAGCATGAATGATCAGAACATGCAAGTACACACAGTACCTTCAAAGAAATAGAAGCATGCATATGTAAAACAAGAATAGAAGAGGGAAAAGGGATATATTTTTTGAGATTGAAAATGTAAATGCAGCAATGACAAATCTAGACCAAAAAGTTTTGAAATCTTAAAGTAGAGCTAAAGATAAAAAATAAGAGAAAAATAGTGTACAATCAGCCCAGGTCTGGTATCTAATAAGGATACAGTAGAGAAAAGGTAAATTAATGTAAGTTGTTCCAGAAATAGAGATCAGAAAAAGATCAGAAAACTTCTTGGAATCAAATAAATACAAATACTCAAAATGAAAAGATGAGCAGGCTGGGGTATAGCACTCAGTGATAGTGCTTTTCTAAGTTATGCACAAGGCCCTGGGTTCAGCCCCCAGGATGGCTAAGTAAATAAATGTTGCTAAAGAAGTCTTTTATAGAAAGGAAAGAAAAGACCAATAAAGAGTCCCTAAGCACAACCAGGAAGAAAATTGGGTTTTAAAAATTTATTTGTATGTTTTTTATTTTTATTTTTTGTGATGCTGGGGAATGATGCTTGGGCCTTACACATGCATGCTGAGGCAAATGCAGTGCCACCAAGCTATATCCCCAGCCTGAAAACTGACCTTTTTTGTTAAGGCATTTTGTCATGAAATCTTAAAATAGTGCTAATAAGTAGAGGATGCTAAGAGATTTGAAAAACAAAGTTATTTACATAGAATCAAGACAGTGTCATCACATACTCAACAGCGGAAATCCTTGAAGCAAAACAAAGTTGGGGGAGTCACACTTCCTTTTAGAAGTGTACACAAAGCTTAACAATGAAGATAGTGTGGTTCTGGATAGACAGAGATAGGCTAGTGCAGAAGACCAGAAGCAAAGCCTCATGTTTATGGTTAAGTGGAAGAAGTCACTCATAAAAGACCATGTATATATGATTTCTTTTTTACTTTTCTTGAGACAGGATCTCACAGTGTAGTTTAGGCTGGCCTTGAACTCACTATATAGCCCAGGCTAACCTTGAACTCATGATTATCCTCCTGACTCAGCCTCCGAAATCCTGGGATTATGGGCATGCACCACCATGCCTGGCTCTATGATCTCTATGTACATATAAACATCCAAAATTGGTACCCATGGAGACATAAAGTAGATAGTAATTGTATAGGCTTGGGGCAGGAAGGGGATACGTAAGAGTGATTGCTATTGAATATAAAGTTTTCACCATTCTGTGTGAAAAGCCAGGGAATTATGTATTTGACTGATTTGGTATTATCTGAGTTGTGAGTAAAAGAAAATCACTGGAGCAATCTTTTGAGAATTTTGAGGGAAATGGTTTCTAATACTGAATTCTCTTTATGAACTTTAATTTTGAGGAAAGATAATTTCAGGTGTTTGAATAGTCTCAAAATTTATCTCCCAACACTTTTGGGAGATATGGTCCATAAAAATATTTTAGTGTATGTGCTGCCGAAGCGAGCACTAGGTCCGTTAAAATAAATGAATAAATCAAGAAAGAGAGAGGCATGGGGTTTAGGAATATGAGAATCCAAAAAATTATGAAGGAAATTCCTTGGCTTGGTTGTAAAGGGAGAGCACAGATAATAG